TTGAACTTAAATGGGCTAGTTTTGATCTGGTTAAGACGCTAAAAATGTGCAATTTGGAATAATTTGGTGTATTTTTTGTACCTTTTTGGTGTTTTTTCTATTGACAGAGATTCATTCTCTCCCTCCTGGTATCCAGCAGTACACATGTTTCAGGTAAAGAAAAAATAAGATACGATACGATACGATACGATACGATACGATGCGATATGATGCGATAAGCTACATGCAAATGAAGCAGAGTAGGTAACAAGACAAGAAATACAAAAGTAGAATAAAGATTTGTTTTTTGTTTTAAATACAATAAAGTACTGTACTTGAAATGTTATAAAGAAAAGTGATGAAACGTGAGAAGCAGTGCTTTGTTGTGTTATTGCACCTAGAAAGTTATATAGCGAGAACAAAACTGTGCACTTGAAATATCTGTAAAGAAAAAGAGGAAATAGTCTTACATTAAGAGAAATGATATACCAAAACATAACATGTAAGACCAGAGGAATGTCTTTGAGTTTGAAACTCCATCCAGCATCTGATATAAGAACTGATAAATCCTTTCTGCCGACTGGTTGGACCTGAGGCTCAGATTGTGCTACTTGATATCAGGCACCACTGCTATAAACACATTAACATTTTATGACCTTAAAAGAATTGAATTGGTGAACATGTTGGCAAATGGCTGCTGCAGAGACAAAGCAACATTAGCATTTATTTGGAGCTTTGTTCTGTCCGTCTGATGAATCAAAGTCCACTGTTCTCTTTCCTTTTAGCTCAGTTTTTGTTCTCCTCCAGCTCCTGAGGGAAGCATTTGACACTTTGTCTGTTTAATTTGCTGGGTTTGTTTCATTTTTTTAATTTCCTGTTTTCTTTTTCTGTTTCCTGTCTGTTTGTGTCTATGTGTAGGGTCTATGTCCCTTTTCATTTACTTCCTGTTTTATTTTGAAATTGCCTTTCCTTGTGTGTTGCTTGTGTTTTTACTTCTGTTCTTTTTCCTGTTTCCCTCCCTTCACCTGTGTCCTGTCTCACCTGTGTCCTGTTTGTTACCCTGTGTACCCCTCTCATGTCAGGACCACCTGTTCACCTGTTCAGGTCCTACCTGGCGTTTACCTGCCTCTGGTTTGCACATTTAGGTTTTTGAGCCACTTTGTGTTTCTTTATTATTTCCTTCAGTTCATGCCACGCTTTTGTTGCCTTTCTGGATTGTTGGTTAACTGTTTCCAGCTCTCCGTGCTTTTGATTTATCAGGACTGTGGTTTGTTTTTGTTTAAGCTTTTTGATTAAAGCTCAAACTAGTACTACTAACTAGCACTTGTAGTGGTTTTTGCTTTTAGGAGTAGTAGAGGCGGTGGTGGTGGTGGTGGTGCTTCTAGTACTAGTAGTGGGGGTGCTAGCAATGCTGGTAGTCGTAGTAGTGGTTGTAGTGCTTCTAGTAGTAGTGGTGGTGGTGGTGGAAGAAATGTTTTGACCTGGATTTCAAAGGATTGGTCATGATCACATATGACACTATGGTTCGATGCTTCATGCTTTTTGTTTTTAACAGTTTGTTTAAATGAGCTCTGAGGTGAGTCTACTTCTGTTTTGTTGCTGTTTAGCTGCAGAAAGACATTTTGACATCCAGATATTAATGTTATTGAGGCAGCAGTCGTTTTCAGTTGGGTTACTGTCATCAGGTGAACTCTATTATCATAGTACAAAAAGAATATACAGATATATCAGTGTGATGATGTGGAGAACAAGTGATGATGTTAAAGATTTGGAGAAGATGTAGGGCAGCTTGTACATGCAGATGCAGCCAATACCACAAAAAATAGCTTGGAAAAAACTGTTAAACACGTAAGAAATATTAGAGGATGAAACAGGAAAAAATAGGCAGCAGTGAAAACTTCAGTTTAGCATTTATGCATCAAAATTGTCTAAAAAATTTGATTATCTGTGTTTAAAAATGTCTGCAGCAATCATGCAAGTTAAAACCAAATGTAAATCATGTTATGGGTTGACTTGTAGCTGCAGGTTTCTACACATTTTATGCAACATAAAGTCAGGAACTGTTCATCGAATTATCTGATTTAAGGCCACCATCTCCCCTTTTTGTTGTTTTTGGTGCTGCTTTTTTCTTCTCTCTCCTGTCACCTAAACAGGGATGCAGTCTCTCTTTCACTCTGTGTCTCTCATGTCTAAGCCAATCATCGTTGTTCTCTGCAGTGATATCGGCTAAGTGGTTCACACTCATTTGGATGGACGGACGGACGGACGGACGGACGGGTGGATGTTTCGCCGGCTGACGTCACGGCTGTTTCACTGCCATTCCAGCAGAGCAAATCAGACTCATCAGGGACACTGTGGGTGGATTCAGAAACACTTCAGTCCTGTGTGGTGGTCTTTTTTTTTTTTTTTTGCAAAAAGCTCAACACAAACCTGAAATAGAACTCGGCCTCAGCGTCTTGCAAACATCCTGTAAACTGTTTTTGTTGCATTCATTTAAAGTGGTAATCTGCAAGATCCTCGTGTTCATTCAGCATTCAGCGCCTCATTTATGTGGATATAAACGGCAGCGGCAGGATTTTGGTGACATTGTTGTGGAATTAAGCATTTGTGTCAGGACAGGACAATGCACGAGATGAAACGGGAAGTGTTTATAGCTCAAAGTTATTCTTGGAACACATCTTATTCAGTCCTGTACATTATATAAAAAATCAACACCATGACGGCCATCATTCTCAGACTAAAGTTGGCCTGTAACGACCTTTTCTGCACCTTTCTTTAAACTGTAGAAAAGCTTAAAATCTCTTGTTTTGGATGTATTGATGAAAATAACTTTCTGCTACATGTTCCAAATGCATCTGATGATTGAATGCCAATATATGAATTGTGAAATGTTAACAGATTTGACCGTCCTGGTTCTTCAGTAGGTGATTTTTAAATTACAGACCGGGCTGTCTTTTTTAGCATTTCTTTATGATTTACTTTGAATTATATTTAGTCTTCCAATTGTAATTATAAATGTTTCTGCAACAGTAAAGGTTAAACTTAAGACAAAAGAGATTTTGTATTAGACTAAAACCAAAAAGAGGTGAATAATCTCTAATTGGCACAGTGGTGATAGACTGTTAAATTCACTGTGATAACTTTGTTTAAGGAGTATTTTGACATTGAACTCATTTAAAGAATGGAGCCTTCTTGTCAAATTACTGTTTCCTACATGAAACACTTATTACCTTTTAAGTTTGTTTTTAAAAGGTTTTGGTTTGCTTGATTTCATCTAACATTTTCCACTAAAGATTTGACATCCAAGAGCTAAAAAACAAGAGTAAAGGTCAACAGTAACCTAAATTCCAGCAAAATCAGCTCTCAAGGTGTCAAAATCAACTCAATAGACAACTATACGTTTCTTTAAATCCATTGTCATTGCATTCTTTAAGGCTTTTACCAGCTAGTTTTGGCCAATTTTACTATTTCTCTCCATTTCTCACCATTCAGATTGCACTCTTTCAGGATGAAAACAAAACATTACTTTCCAATTTAAAGTATAAAACAACATCAAAAGCTTTATTTTATACACTGTAGTCAAGTTATCTCAAATCTTAAGAGACTAAAAAACTTGTGTTTGGATACTTGGCCCTGTACTCTCCTATTTCCCTTTATCTATCTGGGCAAATAGGTCTGCAGGAAACGCTAAGTTTAACCTCCAGATTTCCTGTCCATTCCTCAGGTTTCCCCTGCAGGAGCTGATCTGCACTTCCAGAACCCTTTGGGGAAAATGATCAGATGCGTCAACGGCATCGACCCTGGCGCATAAGTTCGTTATTCCTGCGATTAATTAGAAGAAACAGAATAAAACTCCCCACTAATTCCCACACAGGCCTCCGTGGTTCCGACCGTGAGCAAGACCGATGACGGAAGCAGCGACCTACTGACGTCTCAGGCCCCTGATGAATCTCATGTCCCCTCCTGCTCCAGGAGAATCATCCAGGTGTATAAAACGGGGGGCAGAGCTGAAGGCGAGCAGAGAAACGGAGAGACAGTCGGGAAACACCGGATCAGCAGTGTGGACATACAGCAGCGGCTCAGGATCAGGACTTTGGACAGCGCAGCCAAAACAGACAACTTTATCAAGCGCACATGTAAGATTTTCATTTGCACTTAATTTACTTTGTGGGGTTTCTTTCAGATGGTGCGCACTGGTGGCTTTTGTTTATTGCAATATTCACGCTTCATTCGGCTTTTGGATAAGTTTATCCAAACAGAGTGTTAATTTTACATCGAATAATTTGTTGCTTTTGGTTTAAACAGCGACTCGACATATTTTATTTAGTTTGTGGTCAGTGGTGGAAACGGAATTGCAGCTTCTCCGCTAAGGTTTAGTCTTCGCTACTGTTCGCGGTGTGCGTAATTACGCATTGGATTACGCGAGGTTTTTTTTCATTCTTAAGTCAAAATTCATAGTTATTTGAGAAGTCTAGCAAAGATTAAAGTACTGGCAGTCATTCGTGGCTAAAACACGTTTCTCTTTAGTTTCTTTTCAGTCGTGCAGAGTCACAGAGCAGAGCTGGTAAAAGGAAATTCACAAAAACTCTATTTTTACATTTCCAGTTTTAAATGTTCTCTGATTATTTTTGGAACATTTCAAAGCAATTTCTCAGTAAGTCGTTTGATTAGGAAGATGCTCCGGCATTTATCAGCTCTGCACTTTATTTGGTTTGTGGTTTACGGTGCCAACAGAGTCGAAGTGTCTTTAATCGCCCCCAGTAGCCGTGCGTAATTACGCATTGGATTCCGGCGAGTACTTGTCTTCCCTCGGTCGAAAATCCATATCAGATGGGATGTTTATAAAAGTTCAACTCCTCAATATATTTAATTTACCTCGACCAACTAAACTGGACTGTTGCGCGTCTTTTCTGAGTAATATTGAATTACACAATCATTTCTTTGTTGGTACGATCAGATACGCTCATTGTGCTCAGGTTAGAGGGAGAATAATCACCGTTTCCATCCGCAGGTGTAAAGCGATGTTACAACGGACCGGTCCCCACCTGCTCCTCCTAATAGCCCTGTGCAGTGTGTTGTACTCCCGGACTCTGAGTCTGCCATATACATCCATGAGGTGAGAGGAAAAAACGGTTCTTTCCTACAAAAGCTGCAGAGAAAATGGAAAAAATCCTCCCAGCTCAGTGTGCATGAATTTTAGCGGGTTTGTCTCCAGACTGCTGCTCAGTTTCATTCATAGAGGAGAAGAAGTCTTGACTTTTACGCATGTGGTCATGATTAATGTCATAATTTATTTCAAATATTGGCAACAAAGAGAGAAAAAATGTACAAAATAACTGAGAGATGATGCTCTCAACTGAAAACTCGCTTTCATATTTCAAAAATCTGTTTAAAAATAAAAGTGGTTAATTGCCATTGATCTCCTACAGCATCAGTATTTACAGTCTTCTATTTAAAAAAAAAAAATCACAGTAACAAGCGAGTTTAAACTCTTTAGGAAGCATATTTTACGCATTAAAGGGAGGAGATCAGAAATACTGTTCCTGGCAAATACAGCTACTAGGAGCAAAATGGAACAAACAATCATTACACCGCCTGCTTTAGACCATTACTGTGGATTTATTTGCCGTTTTAACGTTAAAATAAAAGCAGAGTTTAATTCAACTTTCCTGTGGTGTGCTGCAGACCGACGAGACACGCAGACGGACTGTTCACCAGCGGATACAGCAAACTCCTGGGACAGCTATCAGCGCGGAGGTACCTGGAGTCTCTGATTGGAAAGCGGGTCAGGTGGGTGACCAGTCCGGCTGGAGAGAGCTGCAGACAGGCGCAGAACGAAGCTGCTGCTCGCTTTAGGGAACGTAGTGTTTGTTTTACTTCAGCACAACGCGATGGAAGAAGCTTTGGGGGGTTTTAGGGAAACAGAGAGGGCAGAACTTCTGTGTAGATCTGTGAAAAATGGAAGAGAGAAGCATTTTGAAACCTGGTGATAGATTTATGGAGCTATGAATTCTCCATAAAGTTAAAATAAGACAGGATATTGTGAAGCCAAAATCAGCTCCAGTCTTTAAAAAAACGAATCTAGCTGCATGTTTATTGGACGAAATGCAGGATTATTTGAAAAAATAAAATAAAAAATACATATACTATTGTCTCTATTGACAGTAAAGCGGTAAAAAATTGAAAATGTGTTTAAAAAATATGCAAAAAAAGGCACAAATCTAAACATTCAGATTGAAAACAACACAAAATCTAATCCAGGGTTCATTGGACCAAGACTAAACAGTCATATCTGGCATTTTTTGACATTTGTGTATTCCACTATTATCCAAAAAGCAAAGCCTCAGTTCATACTAGTCACACTTAAACATCTGATTGACAGTAAAGCAGTAAAAAATGGAACCAAAAATTTTAAATAGATGCAGAAATCTACTTGTTTCCTTGTATTTAAGCTTGTATTTGAACTATGAAGGAATTAGGCGACTAGATGTTAGTTTGCTTCTGCTCGGTCAAAACACATCCCTCAGAAACAAGCTTGAGAATGAGGTAATTAAGTTCAACCTTTGTAAAATAAACACCCTAAAGCTTCCTAAAAGTGCTCCACGTCCTGTCAAAGCCACATGTTCTTACTTCAACATGAGGAAATATTTGGAAAATTAAAAACGGAGCTGCTGACATTTACAGTTAGAAGTCTGCCTGATGATGCATTTCATACATGGCTAAACATTTCAAAAGGTTAAAAAAATTTGCCGTTGCTGCTCCTTCACATGTTTGTTACGCAGCCAGGAGGAACTCGCACACATGAAACACCATGAATCACACGTCCTGAACCGATTTTACACGCTGCCCTCTGAAACGTGGCGTCACTCTGCTGTCTCCTGTTTAGTGACGAGCTGATGGACGAGCCAGTGAAGCGCCACACAGACGCCATCTTCACAGACAACTACAGCCGCTTCCGCAAACAGATGGCCGTGAAGAAGTACCTGAACTCAGTCTTAACAGGAAAGAGAAGGTAGGAAACGGTCCTCCTCGTAGTTCCCCTTAAAGCTGACTGCATAAGGAAATAACTTCGACTACTTTAAACTCAGCTGGATACAAAGCAGATTTTATTTGGCATTAATGCTTCCATACTTTAAAAGAGGATGTCAGAATATTCAGAAGTTTTGTTTTGCTGCCACCTTTGCTCTCCCTGGTGTCACAATATGAGCACAATATCAGAATTCTTACTGATAAACTGAAGTTAAACGAGCATTTGCATGGACTTTATCGATTAAATTCAGTTGTTGCTGCTTCCATGTGAGAATCAGATGAGCAGAGCGGTTGGAAATCAAATTACCCAACAGATGATGAGAAGATCAACTGATAACAAGGCCATAAAAAAAAACCTGGGAATGTGGTGCACTGGTTTTAAATCACAGCTTAAATCTGTAACTTATGATTCAGCGACTGCATGAACTTCTCCCCTTTTAAATGTATTCTTAAAGCAGCTTTGATGGACGATAAGTGAAGAAAAATCAGTTGAATTGTGTGGAAAGTTGTCACTGTTTGCTTTTAAAGGGTCATTTTAGAGTTTGAAGTTGAAAATCTATTGTGAAAACACATTTTTGTCAAAAACTGAGGCACAGAAATGATAAACACAAACTGATTCTCCGACATTCAAGTCTGCTTGTGTTGCAGGTTTAAGCTTATGAATAAAACCATGTAGACACTGAGCCACCCAGATGTAAATACAAGCAGCACAATCATATGTGATACGGCATAAATCTAAAATATCAGATCCAAAAACAACATAATCTACAAATTCTATGCCACACTTTGCACTTTTTGGACACGTAGGCTTTTCTATTTCAAGCTCCTCGTACACAAATCAAACCGGCACAGGCACAAAAGCTGCACCTACAATGTTTGTATCTAATGAAAAGTGAACAAAATAACTTTAATTTAATCATATATATATAATGGAATGAACATTTAGTAGGGTTCAGTTATATTTGTAGATTTGGTTTCCAGCTCCTTACTCTTCCTCCACGTCCACAGCCTAGAAGATCCTGGAACCAGCGACCCCGAGGAGTCCAGGGACGAACCCAACACCTTCCAGGAGAGCTACGACGACATCAACGTAGACCACCTCCTAAACAACTTTCAGCTGGTGGGTACAGACGCACACTCACACACAGATGTTTGCATATCGTGATGCATTCCTTAACCCTCCAAACCTCAACTTAAACTCTTTCAAATCAAACTATGATTCTGTTTTAACCCCCAAAAAATCCTCAAATTCAAGATTTAAAGCTCAAAATAAAAGGTTAAAGCACAAAAAAACATTAAATTCTCGAAGCTAATGATGAGAATGAAGCGATATTTGTGACGTAACCTAAACACAGTTCAGAAATATGCTTAGAAAAATGGTTTTAGAATCTCATTGTTTCATCAGTGTTAGAAAAGTGACCTGATTCATCACTGTCATGCAAAAGTAGAGCTTAAGACATTTTGTGAAACCTTCAAACAAACTGCAGCAAATCTGTAACTGAGCAAATGTGGGGTTTTCTCAATCAATAACCTTCCTCTTCGTTCTCTGTTTTTGTTTCTTGCAGCCGCTTTGAGGAGGGGCCTGTGCTCGAGTCAATACCTCAAGTCATCCTCATGAAACCGCTCATTCCAAAAAACGACAAAAAAAAAAAAAAAAAAGCAAACGCAGTATTAATCCAAAGGACATTCAAGAAGTCAGATCAGCCAACGACGATGTGTTTTTTCCTCCAATGTGGTTATCTATCTATCCATCCACACAGTACATGTTTACACTGTATATATGCCGTATGTACACACACACACACACACACACACACACACACACACACACACAGTACTAATCACTAAAGACTCTTGGGGTCGCACTGAGCAACACGCGTGTCCAGTTTGGTCGGTCAGTGAATCGGTGTTTGAAGTCGGCAGCAGTAGATGTTAACACAAGAACCACGTTTGCTTTGGTTCTGTTGTTCCATTGACTTTCAGTAGAGCTGGTCCGTCTGTTTCTAACAGCGTACTGAATATTCTGTCAACATGTAGCTTTGAATGGAAGATGAGTTAGTACAGGAGTTCCATTAACTTTCAGTTGAGAATTCGTCTGTCTAATTTTGAATGGCCTCGTTAGATCCCACTAGAATTAAAATGGCACAAATTGTGCTCTTGACTTGACCTAAATAACATCCCCGTTTACTTTGAACACTTTTAATGCTTTGAAAAGTTGAAATTCAATAGAATATTTGATAGATGTTGTTTCAAAAAGTGCGAGCAACCTTTCATTTAAACATATAAACTTCTGACCCTGAACACAAACACTGGACGTCAATGGAACAACATCGGAATATAGTGACGTTCCCGCTGAACTTTGGTGGATTTATTGACTTTCAAGTGGCTGAAACTTGTCATCTTAACTTTAAATGGAGCATCTGTGTGATTAAACTCAAAAACTAGTTCTATTAACTTTCAATTGTTCAACTGATCTTCAAGGAACACTGTTTACTTTTGGTGTATTTTCAGCTTTTTGAGAATTTCAGAAGTCACATTTGGTTTTAAAACAGCTCCTGTTGTGTTCATTTCCAGTGGATATAAATCCCACATTAATGTTAAAAACCATCCATTAAATTAGATGAATCGGTTCAACATTGCTGGAAGTCAATGGCAACAGCATTATTTGTTAAGCTTTTATTTTATCTACTGTATTCACTTTAAATGGAACATCTGTCTAATTTATTTTTACTGTTTCATTGCCTTTCATTGGGAAACCATTCACTTTCAGTAAAATCTCTGCTTTATAAAGACTTGATTGCCCCATTTACTGTCAACAGAACAATAGAACAACAAAAGACCATTTGATTTAATTGATCACATTCAGTAGATCAACACAGGACAGTACATTCTGTTAAATTCCAGTCAAACAGTTGATTTCCGGTGGTGCGATGGTGATCCTGAGGGTACACTTGTGGTCTCTTGACGATGAAACGGTGGCTGACGTACACGTTTTGAATGGACACAGATGCATATAATCACTTTATACTATTCAATATGTAGAGCAAAGAAGTTATAACTGTGCATAGACCTGCCTTTAGTGCATATAGTGATGTACACCACTCACCAAATAAAAGATGTTGGTTTATTTTTCAAAGCTGAGTCGTTTTGTCTGGCTGATTGTTTGAGACACAACTTTGGCTTTTTGACCCACTGGAGGTCTTTCAATGAAGGGTGAAAAGCAGCAAATAGGCTCTTATGGCGCTGACATGAGCTCCTTAAGGGAGAATGCAAAGTGTCATATGTTATAAAGTATATTTATTTAGATTGCAGCCTATTTTAATTGGTTTAATATTTACATTCCAGGTCAACTAATCAGACCTTCTAAATGAAAAAGGCCTGGACGTGACGGTGTAGATGACAACATGTTGGCATATATGAGTACACAGCCGTACGTGGCCTTTACTTCCCCCCCGTGGGTGTCGGCTGATTGACATGAAGTGCAGCGACACTGACATAAAAACACTGTATGTGCAAACCGAGTGGTGTGTTTCCTTTGCCTCTTGATGTGTTCAACACTTAGAGAAGCAGGCTGGAGATGTCCTGGAAGGAAGACCACAGGAACAGCCACGAATAGCAGAAATCTTTAGTCTCATGGATGTAAAAATATAGACACACAGGCAAAGTGTTGCCAG